AGTTTGAATATTTAAGTAATTGAACAACCCATGATTCCAAATAATCTAATAAAATGAATGAACAAACCCAAGATTCCAATAATGAATAAAACAAATAAAACAAATAAAACAAATAATTTGAACAAAACAAATCATTCGAACAAACTTTTTAATTTGAATTAAAGATCAACTGTATTAGTATTACGAATAGAAGCCCTAACCATTACTATATTTTAAAAGAAATGATTTATGAAATTCTTCTAATTTCTTACAAAATCCATCAAACAATTCTTCTGGTGGAAGAAAAGTACTACGAAAATGCCAAGTGCCCTCTTTTTGTCTAAAACCGTTGCCAGGTACTACTATACAGACACCTGTTTCCTCAAGCATATCAAAACATTAAAATTCATCAGGTTGTCTACCCAATTATTTTGCCATCTTTATTGCTTTTGGTGGAAGTTTAATTCTTGGGAAAAGATACATCGATCCCTATTATTTAAAAAAATTTAGTATAACAAGTATAATATATATATACAAGAATTATAACATTAAAAAAATATACCAGAGTACTATTACATAATTTTTGACTACTTTTCAGACCGTTCTGGTAGCACAAAATTTTAACCAATGCAATTGTTGATTGAATCAAAATCGTGAATTTGATAATGTAAAAATAAATGTTGGTTTGATTCATTTTATCTACAATCACTTCACCAACAATTGTTTCGTTAACAAATGGTTTGAATTTAAGAAGTTGGAAGCAACCATGTGACAAGCCTTTGAAATAGACTAATAAATTAAATTGTACTACTCGAAAATGTATTTAAAGGGTTGGTATTCGACTTGGTTGAAGAATAACTCTCTTCCTAACTCTTCTCTTGACTATATAATTGAAATAACCTTAATATAATGAATGTAAACAAAATGATTGTAGACACAATCAATATTTAAGATATACGATTAAGACAAAACATGAAAAAATCAAACAAATTTATTTAATAAAAACAAAAATTACAACCCAAAAAATGCTTTTTTTGCATGTTCTAATAAAATTTCTATTGTTGCATCACCTATTTCTGATTCAACGTTACCATATCATCATCGATAAACTCATTTTTGTTTAACCTTTTCGTCCTACTTTCTTTTAGTACGTTGACTTTTTTTTTGATTTCGAATTGAAGATAGTCCAAGATATCAAACATTTCGATTGGCACCCTTGTAGACAATGATTGTAATAATCATGTCCACACGTGAGTATATACACTACAATTATTCAAATTAGTATAGTTAGTGTAATCACAATATATGTAATCGCAAAAAATGTTTGTAGATGGTCTCCTAGAAGTATAACAAAGCCTTTGGAAGGTGACGGTCGGTTATTTCGTAAACTAAAGAAGGTAATTTGTATGAGTTAATACCATTATATATTAATTTCATGCTTGATATATCTTCGTAAACGCATCTAAAAGCAATACAGCACACTTTCGGGAAAGCATATGCAATTGCTTCGGTGTATATGAATATTTCATAGAAACTATTAAATGTTGTCGAAAAGTATTGTCCTTTCGATGCTGAAAAATAAAATATGCCTCCTTTTTCAGTTGTTGTGCAGCGAAAACTTAGCCGTACGTCATCAAATAATGCTGTGAATGATTTCTACAGAATTATCACTTAAAGAGGCGAGATAATTAGTAACCATTGGATGATTTATCTCCATCCAATAAAAGACATCAGAAAAAAAATTAAAAATGCACACTTATAATTCCTTCGATCAAACCAAAGAAACTTTTACGATGACCTCTACCAACTGCTATAACTTCATGACTTTCACGACTTCCATGATTTCCATGGCCTCCACGACCTCCGTGATTTACATAATTTCCATGATTTTATTTCATTATACAGTAAATAATATATTAAAGGAGGATTTAGTTTGAAATGAATAGAAAAAAAGGTTTTAAAAAAAATATTAAACTTTAAACCTACTACTATAATTTGTGTTGTAAAACAAATTGTTTAACAACGTGATGTACAACTCAAATTAAAAGTAGTAAATTTAACTTAAGATCCTGATGAATATTAACTAATAATTATGATTGATGATTGTGATTTATGATTCGAATTTGATTATGATATTTTTATTTTATTTTTTGCAGCCATTTTATCATATATTTGCATTACACTTTATTATTCATCAAGTACTTTATAGTGTAAGTTTGTAATATTTTTTTTAAAAAAAAATAAATATATATACAGTGCGCGAAAAAAGTAATGAGAATGACGTTTTTATTCATTTTACGACGAGAAAAGGTTGCAGTACATAAACATTTACAAATATACTGTACATAATACGACAAAAAAGTTTACTTAAGGTTAGTTTATCGTATTAACATTACTCGCAATCACACTCTCCGGTCTTTTTGACATACTATGAACTAAATTAACAAAAATTTCAGTTTCAATTCCTTCCCACTCTTTCTGAATTATCTCAAGAAATCAATTTGTAGTAACTGGTTTTTTTTAAATTAATAATTTGTTGATTTCTTTCTCTACATGTCCCTTTAAAATTGTCCATAAATTTTCAATTGGGTTAAGATCTGGACTATTGGATGACCAGTCCATTAACTTTGGGCATCGTTGGACGAGAAGTTCCATAGTTTCCTTAGCTTTATTCTTCGGATCATTACTCTGTTGGAACATTTCGATTTTTTTCCCATTGTGGCATTGCACTTGTGATATGACCGGTTTCTTTAACTGGTCAAATATGAAAAAGAAATAGAGTTTAATTACGATGTATTTTATTCTCATTACTTTTTTCGCGCACTGTACATATATATATATAATTATAATAGGGAGCATCAGTGATAATTTTATCAAAATTTGATATAAATTCATTTGGTATGCGATACAAGATCATAAAATAAATATTATATGTGTAGTTCCACCGATCGTGCTTCAACTGGTTAAAGTCCCAGTTGTTGGCAATTATGATTTAACAAGCTTGAAATTTTTATTCTGTGCTGCTGCTCTGTTAAGCGAAGAGTCGAGTAATATGTTCAGCAACAAATTTGGTACACCTCTTAAGCAAGGTTATGGACTTACTGAAACTACACCAATCATTACAATGGATAGGACCGATGATATCACAATTGGTAATTTAAAAGATTGTCGAAGGAAGGACAGAAGGAAATAAATGAATAAATAATTTTTTTTTTTGAAAAAAAAAATATGGAATTCTTATAGCAAAATATGGAAGCAAAAATTATTGATGAAAATGGAAAAGGTAATTAACAACGAATCATTCATTATTTATCACTAAACAATTAATTGATTATTATATATTTATATTTGATAGAACTTGGGATTAACGAACAAGGTGAACTATATGTTCGTGGTCCAAACGTTATGAAGGTACCAATCATATTTATATTAGTATTGTTAATCGGAGGAGACAATGAAATTGGGCAATATACTACTATTCAAGATGAATGGTCTATCATTGCTGCAACTTCTACATCAGGAAATTCTTCCCGCCATAATATTGTGTTTGTAAGTTTTAATATGCAATCAATTTATTTTAATCGATCCTTCACATGTCTACGAAAAAAAATAGGGTTATCTTAATAATAAACAGGCTACTAAAGAATGTATTGGTAAAGATGGATTTTTCCGTACCGGAGATGTTGCTTTTATTAATGAAAATGGTAGATTATTGTAATATCATAAAATGAAATATTCTTTTTCATTTTTAATTAACATATTTATTATTATTATTATTATTGTAAAAGGGAAAATTTTTTTGGTCGACCGTATAAAAGAACTTATCAAATATAAGGTTTGCCATTTTTCTTTTTTCTTTTTTTGAAATTTGATTAATCAATTCTTCCCATCACCATCACCTCAAAAAAATTTTTTTAGGGCTCTCAAGTTGCACCTGCGGAACTCGAATCAGTCCTACTTACAAACCCCATCATTTCCGATGCAGCTGTAGTTGGTATATATTCAGAACAAGACGCGACAGAATTACCAGTCGCCTATGTTGTACTACAAAATCTTCCTCCTGAAGCTGCCAATGATCACCAACAAACCAAAAAACTAATTCAAGATCATGTAGCTGAAAAAGTTGCTCCTCATAAAAAATTACGTGGCGGTGTCTACATTATTGATAAGATACCTAAAAGTCCTTCTGGAAAAATTTTGAGAAAAGATTTGAGAGGACGACTTAAGAGTGAATGGGTTCGTCCTGATGATCTTTTTAAATATAAATAATTTTTTTAATAATAAATTTGTCACGGGAATTTTATCTTCTCAAAGTCGCACACAGGGTGAGAAATCCTATTATAAAATTTTTAGGTTCTCATCACTAAAAATTTTCAAATTGACCCGGTGTCCTGGGCCTTATAGGCCACCACTGAACTTTCTGGTCAAAATGTAAAATTTACATTTTAAGATTACTTAAAATTGATGTAAGTGTCCAATCTAAGATTACTTGCTTGAAGCCTCTTAATGACTGCTGAAACTCTACTAAACAATTAGTATGTAACCTGCATCTACTCTGCCAATTGCCAAAACCCCAAATGTGAAGCTCTGCCGAAACTCTATTATTGTGTAACATGTCAAAACCGCCGATGGAGTTTTGGCAAGCAACCATAGTCATATTAATTGATTTGTTAACATATCAGCCGATTTGGTTTTTTGGCCTTTTTAAACCTTGTCTTATTTTGTGTCTTGATGTCAAACATGAGTATTTTTAATGTGTAAACTGGTCAGTAGAATGATAATTAACCCTAAAAAATTTATTTGCTCTGCTAAAAAAACTATTTTACTATTCAACAGCCCGTCAAACCAATGAATGAGTTTTTGCTAGTATAAAGTATTCATAACGTTATGATCAAACAAAATCAGCGCATATGGGTATCGTCTTTCTAAAAACCATTTGGACATTGATGTCGATTTAGATATTGATTTTTTTT